AAGGTGTACGACTGATGCTATCTTTGCTTTGAAACAGCTAATGGAAAGGCACAGGGAAATGCAGGAAGATTTGCATATGGTGTTCATAGATCTGGAAAAGGCTTATGATAGGGTACCAAGGCAAGAGATATGGAGATGTTTGAGGGAAAAGAATGTACCAGAAAAATATTTTAGGCTCGCCAAGGAAATGTATGAGAGAGCGGAGACTCAAGTTATTAGTAGTATGGGCACTACAGAAGGGTTCTCCATTAATGTTGGTTTACATCAGGGATTGGCCCTTACCTTGTATCTGTTTGACCTGATAATGGATGCGTTAGTGTGTGACATGAAGTGTGAGGCTCCATGGAGTATGCTGTTTGTGGATGATGTATTGTGTTGTGTGAACCTTCTCAAACCAAGGCTGTAAAGAAACTGGAAGATTGGAAGAAAAGGTAATGAGAATTAGCAGAATTAAAACAGCTTACATGAGTCTGAATGTCAGGGATGAGTGCAATATTAAAATCCAAGCTGTGCTACTCTCTTTCATTTTGAGTTTTAAGTATCTTGGGGCCTTTGTTGAGATGGGGATAAAATTGAACTCAAAATTGCAACATAGAATTCAATGTGGATGAATGAACTGAAGGAAGCTGAGCAGTGTGTTATGTGATAAGAAAGTTAGCTGCAAGCTGAAAGGTAAATTGTATAAATCTGTTGTTAAACCTGCAATGTTATATGGGGCTGAGACATGGGCAATAACCAGAGCCCAAGAAAGAAAGATGGATGTGGCGGAAATGAGAATGTTGAGATGGATGTATGGAGTGTCAAGGAAGGATAGAATAAGGAATGATTTTATTAGAGGTTCTGTTAAGGTGGGCCCCTTGATCAGGAAAATGCAAGAATATAGATTGAAGTGGCTTGATATTCTTCATTTTTTCATTCAACAGCACTACATAAATGCAAATCAGAGGGATCTCCTGAGAAGCCTCCTCTCCAAGATACTCTGTGAGATGGTACTCAGATCTTTGGGAAATCATGATTTTACCTAAATATGATGAAAGCATTGCACTATATGCAAGATACATAGATGATGTGTTAATAATATGGAGCCAGTAGCCCAATATCAAACACTTCGTCAATGATATCAACACCAACCCACATGGATTAAAAATAAAACTGGAGCAAGAAAGTGCAACATATGAGCACTTCCTGGATGTTTTGCTTAAAAATAAGGGCTATCATCAGTGATTTTTATAGAAAACCAACTTAGAACCATTCATACCATTGATGTCCACAACTTGATCAACTATAAACTGGTAGCATTCAGGGCTCTTATCAGAAGAGCCCACACTGCACTGCATGAACATGCAAGACAGAATACAAGAGCCTAAATACATTAAAGAAATCGGACACCAATTTGGATTCAAACTTTGAGCAATAAAAAATATAATCAAGAGTTGCACACTATGTAAGAAAGAGGTTCAAAGAAAGGCCACACAGACAGCAGGAGAGTTGCTACAGGAAAGAAAATTGCAAAAGAAATCCTACTGTATACAGACTACTGCTGAATGAGAAGGAGCCTATAAACCCATTGTGCATTCCAGGTATTTACGACATACCAATCAAAAACAGTAGAGTCATGCAAGACCCGTACTACATCAATGCTACTAGACAGTCCTTAACATCAAAAATTAAAGAACACAAAGACAGCATCCATAAGAATAATCCTACTACCACATTAGTAGCTTACACGATGTTCAATCTGGAGTCTATCTCAGTAGACTGGTTTGGGCAAGAATAATCCAAAAAAGTACAGAAGCTTTTATTCTGTACTTTTTGTACTGTACTGCAATAAGATACTCAGGAGTTTGGCAAATATACACGACATCCTCAAGAGGGCAAAAAATAAACTATAAATAATGTGACACAATATCCGTTGCATAAAAAGCATTAGTAGATTTGAACTAAAATGATAAAGTACAGAGGTGGACAATAGCATAAAATCTCATTTATAAGTTTACGAGTTATGTATGTTATCAGGCAAAGTTATTTTATTTCTATTGTTTTTGTTTTTATACATTTTTATTTAAGTCTGACACATGACATATTTGTACAGCAAAATCTTTTGTCAGTTTTTGGTTTTGGTTGTTATATTGATATTTTTAAATCTCTGTAGAAGTCCGATGCACACAGTTCAATGTTTTAAACCATTAATATTTGAAATGCAACTTGTTCCAAAGATCAGCTTTTCTTATTTTTAAATTTCAATCTATTTTTCTATCCTGAGAAAGGTTGTTTAAAACAACTGAAAACATTAAAATTAAAATCTTACTACATTTTTAAAGGTATGAGTAGTAGTACTGTAGTTATTTGTAAATATTCATCACTCAAAAGAATAAAAAAAATTTACAATTGTAACAGTTAAATGCCAAAAAAGTTGTCTCTGATAGGACAGAGCATCTACAAAGTAGCCAATGGCAGCAGATTGTACAGATAGATACCACAATTTTTAAACCTTGATAACTTGCTCATTATCGCCCATAGAAAGAAATGATTTGGAATGTAATATTCCTTATTAGTGCTTATGGTTATATTATATGGTCATGAATAATTTAATGCATCTCAAAACAGGAAATTAGTAACAAATATTCAAGATAAGAAGTTAGCTTTCAACTAAGTGTCTTAACTTCTAGAACTTTGATTAATTTTTTGGGTAAGCATGTTGTATATAATTTAAATATGGTTAATGGATAACTTTATCTTCAACTTCAGTTTTCTAACAACTAAACTATGCTCACAAAATAAAATATTAAAATATATGTATACTTACTAATATGTACATATATTTTAATATTTTAATGAAAAAATAAAAACATATATACATATATAACTTTATAACTTTTTGACTTCCTGTTCTTTATATATACAGTACATACTTGCTAATTCAAATAACCAATACAATAAATAGTTAATATTAGAGTGCTCTACATTACAAAATATTTTATCACCTGCATATTTTGAGTTACTAGCAAACATTTTTTTTTCTTGTTGCTAATGTTGAATATTCATAACTGATCATTTTGTCTGAATAGAAAAACACTCTCAGAAAACATGTTATTAGATCTGTTGATGACTCTGTAATACAAGGTATATTCAGAAAGTAAGTTCCTTTTGTAACTCCCGTGAATGTGATTGCAATTGTGGACATGTGCATTAAGTCTGTTGACAAATTAGCAAGATATTGATGTCATTTGCAGACAATAAGTTATTGAAGATGTTTCATAGTTTGTGTTTATAATGCTCAAGAAAATTGAGATGCCCTTCATGTGTAAAGTGCATGCTGTAATTTGTTTTTTAAATGCAAAAAAACATTAAACCAGCAGAACTCCACCAACAAATTTGTGATGGGTGGGTGACATTTCTATGAAAGTGTGCACAATGATGAATGAAGTAGATGCCTATCTTTGGTGAATGAAGACTTATTGCATGCAGTTGAAAAGAAAATTCAAGACAATAGCTGTTTCACCAAATTGTCTGTCATTGAATTTTCCACAAATTTCTCATTCTTTACTTTATAAAATTATGTTGAAAAACTTGCATTTCTGCAAACTGTGTGCTTGCCGCATTCACAGAATTGCTTACAAATGACCACAAAAAGAAATGTGTAAGCAGTTTATTGAAATTTTTAACACACTCAAAAGATCATGTGCACAGTGTTTTGAGACCAATGACAAGTGTTCATGTGGATTTTAACTGAAAAAATAATAATAATAATAAAAATCAATGCTAATACCTATTGTGAAATACTTAAGAATTGTGTTGCACAATACAGAATAAGTAATGTGGTACATTACACCGGGATTCATGATGATGCCCAGTCCCACATTGCAAATGTAACACACCAATTCCTGACATTTTGGCTAAGAACAATTTCCTCATTTCTTTATAGCCCAGACTTGGCAGTTAGTAATTTTCATCTCTTTTTGCACTTAAAATCTTTTCTTAGTGGTAAGCAATACAAAATCATCAACAAAATCAAAGATACTATTACTGCACGGTTTGTTTCTCAGGTATCAGACTGATGCCTGCATACAACATGTGCTCTGTTATAACAGTGTCTAAACCAGTGTTTCTCAAAGTGGGCAATAATGCCCCCTTGTGGGAAATGAGTAAATCTAGGTAGTGCTTGAGGCAGGGTATTGAACAGTGACCAAAGACAAAATTGGGGTCACTGAAAGGTCAGCCGTTCCCTTTTCTCTGTTAAACCGATAAGAGGAAACATTGTGTTTAATTGTTTCCAGATGTTGAGAACAATGTACGGTAAGGGCACAAAGTGTGAGATTCATAGAAAAGTTTTCCTGAGAATATTTCCAATCCTTTCTCACACAAGAAAAAATGGGTTAGGGGATGTTGGGTATATCTATATGGAACATAGGGGGCAGGGAATCGAAAAAGTTTGGGAATCACTGGCCTAACCAACAAACATGACTATGTCGAAAAATAGTATAGGTGTGTATATAAAAAATTACATTTTATTTTATAATCAATGTGTGTGTTTTATTTATTGCCCAATGAAACTTGCTTTCTGGATATGCCTTGTACAATTTTTTTACTTCAATAATTTCTTATTTTTAGAAATAAATGTATTTTAGATAATTTACAATTTTTATTTTAATAATTTTAAAATAAATTATGAGAAATACCCAAATATTTTCTACCAGTTTTCAAGTTTCTGTTACTTGAAAAAAATTACAAAAAATATTTCATAATTTAAACATATTCAACTTTAAAATAATATCTATAGTTTCATCCATTTTTATAAAAAGTTATATTTTAAAGTATTCCAAAATTTTAGTAGTTTATTAAATAATACATAAAAATCAATTACTTTTGTACTTATTTAAAATGACTAATTTATATTCAATAATTCTATTTATTCTGTAAACACAAATAATATATCAATTTTTCATTTTTACTAAAAGGTATTTAAAAATTTTATTAAATTAATTTAATGATATACTTACGGTAAGACTAACAAAATTAAGAAATTTTTTCAGAACTTCTACCATTACATCAAACTTCCTTTCTGGCATTTTTTCTTTCAGTAGATTCGCATATTCCTATAAATAATTTTAATTTAAATAAATTTATTTACTAAATAATCACCAGATAAACAGTCTTCCTTCTAGAAGTCAAGTTTTTAAATGTATTTAGAAGTTATTCAAAACAATTTTAAAAAATGTAAGTTTTAATACTAAGCAATGCTGTTTTTAAGATGATTTAGAATACACCAATTTATTTTAACTTCATTAATATAAAATCAAAGTAATTAATGAAATTAATTAATATATAAAGTATCATTACTGTATAAATTTATAAACTATTTTTTAATCAACCATCTCATAAAATAAATAAAACAAGACAAATTTTTTCTTAAAAATTTAATTTTCTAGTCTTGTAAAGTTATAATTAGAGACTGGATTTGTAACAATTGCTATTTTTTCTGCTCATAGATAACACTTCACTATCCACAGATCTTTTACTGGACATGACTCTGCATGCTTCTGATAAATTCTATTGTGCTATTTCTGTCCTTTAGTTACACTTTGTTCACTTTTCTATAAAATCTACATGTGAATATGATCTTATGGAAGATATGGATTAATTCTGTACTTCCTTATTTGATGGCACTAATTTCATTAATCATCTAACATGTAGATTCAATTACAATACTTTAAGAAGTGTTGTTGAAAAGTCACTGTATTAATTCTGCTATACAATCATAGTGTTAAGTCTGTCAGAAGAATAATGCTTAAAGCAGTCTCTTAGCTGTAAAATACATCAATGAATATTCCTATAAAATATAAAATATGAAGTGTTAACCTGATGGAAACAAGTTTTTGCAATGTCTATTAAAAAAAGTTGCAGATGACAAGAAACACTAAAATTCTAGTATTTTTAGTTTTTATTAACTAATGTCAATTTTATATAAAGGAAATGTAAAATCGATATACAGGTAACCCCCATATAACACGGGAGTTACGTTCCAAAAAATTGCCATGTTATGCAAATCCGTGTTATACAAAACAAACAACTAGTGTGAAAAGGGTTCCAAAAATTAAAAAACATGCTGTTAAATCCTTATTAAAATCAGATTTATTATTCACTTTTTTCATAGGTAAAATACTTATTTATTATTTAAGTAAATATTTTATGAAAGGATTATTCATTTTATATGATGATCTCAGCATGAGCATCATCAACTGGTAACAGGTTTTGGGTGCATTCCTTAATAGCAGTCGCTCTGCAATGGGAGTGCGCTGCTGTTTGTAGGCATTTAGGAATGACGGTGAAAGAAAGGTGGTGGTGCCTGCACTATTGATAGTATCGTGATGGAGGAATCTATAATTCTAAAATGAGCTTTTAGAGGCAAAGGAAGTGTCCCAATTGTAAAATATAACCATTAAATGGATTATTTGTTGAAAGAGCATTCATAGTAGCCACGAAAACAATTAGAATGCTCGCGCAGAGTTATGCGGAAGTATAAAAGAATGCACCCTTTATTACATTTCATGTTGTACAAGGATTTTACCCAATTCCCGAACCGTGTTAGAGTGAACCTGTGCTATAAAAGCACTGTGTTATACAGGGATGTTCCCAATTCTTGAACTGTGTTACAGTGAATCCATGCTATGGAAGTGACGTGTTATATTGGGGTTACCTGTATAAAGATTTTAATCAATCTATTACATTTCTTCACATGGCATAATTTTCTGATTTCTCAGAAACATATAAGGCAATAATCCCTCTTGCAGAAATGTTCAAATGATGAAGTGTTAAAAGAAAATAAATATTTTGATAATTTTTTGTCAGCCTCTTCCTGTAGCAAAAGTTTTCAAAACCTTTCCAAAACAAATCTCTTCAGTGAAAGAATTCTTAGAAAAATATACAGTACTTTTAGGAAAACACAAGATAAAAGTATTCTATGTAAAAATTATTTGCTTGCATATTACAAAAAATTAAGGGCAGCAACAGAAAATTACTACATGTATTTATACATTACATGATGAATTAGGAATCAACTGACCAGAAAGGCAATACTTCTGAAAATACAAATAGTGAATGTCAAATGTTTAAAAGCTGGAACTTCTTGGATAAAATCATACAAACACACTTTTGTAAATAAAACAACTCAACTTCTTGACACCAGGAGTGAAATACTAAATTCAGAACCTGTTACTGGTGTAATTTGTGTGAAAAAATCTCTTTCACAAACATTTTCAAACTTTAGAGATAGTTCTTCTTTAGGTAAAGAAATTCCATTGGAATGCTTCGAAAAATGGAACGTGGATATTCAAACAAAAAACCGAATACTCACATAACGGAACTCACCGAGATGGGCATGCAAATTGGTGCACAGAAGTTGGTATTTAAAGATTGCTGTTTATAAGGGCCTGCCACGCTAGAGAAAGATTAAGCTCATCTTTTTTATTTATACATGTGGTCATGCGGTTAGCCTTGTAGATGTATACAGCTTCTAGCCATTTTAGATGCTCTAGGCGGGATGCAGAGACGATGACTTCAGCCTTGTCGAATTCCAGTTTGATATTGGGATCAGATGCAAAGGTGGCCAGGGTCGTGGTGTATCGCCCGTGTTGAAGGTCTGCTTGATGTTCACTTATTCTGGTAGCCAAAGAGCGCTTGGTTGAGCCGATGTATATGAGGCTCTCGTTGCATCTGTTATCCTTGAGCGGTACGGAGTACACACCGGGAAGTCTGCTACGAACCAGACAATCCTTTCCATTTCTGAGGATCTCAAAGATTGTGGGACATCTTCTATAGGCTATTTGTAACTAATGTTTTCCGTCAATCTTAGCATATATTGCTTTAACATGTGAGTTAAAGGTGACTGGAAGGCGTAAACAATCTTCTGAGTTGGTGCTAGTCTTCGTACTTGTAGCAGGTGCTTATTGTGAGCATTGATGTCGCTCAATTAGACGGTGTGTTAGACCAGGATAACCATGCTTGGCTGATATCTTCTTAACATATTTTAATTCAGTGGAAGGGCTTGCGTGGTGGACAAATGAGAAAATGTCCTTCTAATGAGAGTATTGAATGCTGCAGCCTTGTAGGTGAAGCGGTTGCAGGAACACACCGATATGTACATAGAGGCGGCATAAGGTTTACAATATACTGATGTGAGAATTGTGGATCCTTCTATTTTAATGTTTATATCTAAAAAAATGGGCCTCAGTATTGCTAGATTGCTCCACCTCTAGGGTTAAGCTGTAAGGATTATCATTAACTGCTTGTACGAAAGCTGAGATGTCAGGTATTTTCTTCCACAAGATGAGAAAATCGTCCACATACCTCCTATAAAATAAGATGCTTGGGAGGAATGGTGGCAGGTCCTTATAAATGGCAATCTTTAAATACCTACTTCCGCGCATCAATGGACATGCCTGTCTTGGTGAGTTCAGTTATGTGAGTATTCGGTTTTTTGTTTGAATATCCACGTTCCATTTTTCAAAGCATTCCAACAGAATTTCTTTACCTGAAGAAGAATTATCTCTAAAGTTTGAAAACGTTTGTGAAAGGGAGATTTTTTCACACAAATTACACTGGTAACAGGTTCCGAATTTAGTACACCTTTTGTACTTTTCCAGCAATAACTTTGATCATAGAATAAGTGTTTCTGGCCAATTTAGAATGCAACATAACTCTTTCATCTTAGGAATGACTTCTAACCCAAAGCAGGTATGTACATTGGGCTGAAAGCATTTGTTCTGTGATTAAAGTTATTGCTGGAAAAGTACAAAAGATGCATTTGTAAGATTTTATTGAATGCCAATTCTCATTTTTTAAATAAGATATAAGAATATATTAATTATATTGTGTGATATATTCTGAATACTAGGACATCGTGTGACCTTGTTGTATCGTGATAGAAGCAATCCTTGTACCTGCTGGCTAAGGAGTCATGATCCTTGCACTTGCCAACATGGAAAGGCAATTCAAGAACAAAACAATTCTCATGAATTGCTTTGTTCTTGTGTTTTGTTTGTTTTTTTTGCACCTATTTTCTATTATGTGTATACAATGCTGTTTTTATTTTTGACCCCTAGGCCTATATTCCATTAGGCATGCTCAGTTGCATCAGTGAGCATGAACAGTGTCAGTTTAACTCTTCTGTGTATCGAAAACCTCTCAATCATATTTTTTACATTTAAATGGACCCTTGTACATTTTTGGATTCCTTATCTCAAATAATGGAAAATGGCAATCAAAATTGGCCCATTAAATTTTGAGAACAAACTCAACTCTATAGTGAAACCCACAGAAGACATGTTGGTGGCCTTGAAACATTGCATTACAAAGTCGTGCACGCTCATAAAACAACCTTATATCTCAAAAATGAAGTCAGGGATCCCCATTTTTTATTGCATTTTTGGATTCCTCATCACAATTAATGGAAAATGGCAAAGTTTAATCAAAATCAATCAAATTAATTTTGAGAACAAACAATTCCATAAGCCTCATAGAAGAAACTTTGCTACCACTCCACCTCAATAAATACTGAAAAACTTATTAACAGGAGTATTAGATTCAGCAGAGATTAAACATCTTTACTTAGTTGTATATACACAGTTAAAAAAATCATAAAACAATTGGCAGATTTGTTAACTGTACTTGGAAAATTATGTTTTCAGGTACATCTTTTCTGAATTGGTTCATCTTAAAATAGTATGAATACTTAATAGTGTTTTGCAGATGCTAAATAAAAATCTTATGTTTTATTGCTGTTAACAGATTCTGCTCCATATATATCAATATAATAAAATCTAATACTCTAAAAAAATATTTTCCCTTAATTAGATGTATGAAATAACAGCCCTGTTAAGATGAAAATGTAATTTTCACATTTCATGATGTCAATTTTTTCCCCCTACATGTTTTTCACAACAAAATCATTTCTTTTTACTTTTCATGTCCTTTATTCACTTTTTTTTTTTTTTTGACAGAATCACTACAGGTATACCTCGACTTATGTTGTTCCCAATTATACGTCGTTTGTCAAAAAACTATATGGAAAAATAAAAATCAAGTTTAAGTCATTTTA